ATTAGTTTAAAAACATTGATTATAATATTCATTCATATAAATAAATAGATGCTATATAATTATAGTACTTAATAGAAATTTAAATTACAATCCCGATGTGTTTGATACTCTAACTCCATTATCATATTATAAAATTTGACACCGTACACTTATAGTGTAAATCACGTTATAGAAAATGCGTAACAGGAAACAAGAATAAGCTATTAATGGGTAATTGAGAGTTAAAATAGATTAACCACGATGGATTCAAATCCTAGTGGCTGCTGTGTGTGATTTGATTAATTCCAAGTAGTGCTCTTATTTTTAATTGCTTATTTTTTAACATAATTAGATTTAGTTAAAATCAACTTAAAAATTTATTGGATTAGAACTAGTTCATATCAAAGTAAAATATGTAGATAATCCATTCTCGTGACGTTTCTCTATTCATCACCTTTTTTTACTTGTAACGATTCACTTNATCAAAGTAAAATATGTAGATAATCCATTCTCGTGACGTTTCGCTATTCATCACCTGTTTTTACATGTAACGATTCACTTGCGAGATAAAATCGATAACAAAAAAATTTCAACCCCTTTTATTAAGACGTAGAATTTTACAAAAATAATTATTAAATGAATAATGCAATCAGTGCAAATAAAATCATTTCGATCATATTAATATAATACTCGAGTTATCGGATAAATGGTGAAAAGATGATTAAGAAATAACCTATCTTCCCGTCAAATGTTACCAAAAATTTCATTATGTGCACATTGGTTGCCTAATAATAGAGTTAAACCCCTCTTTGACAGCCTTTTTTTTTTCAAGAAGAATGAGTTTTTGAATAATCATTTTTTTTTTTGAAAAATGTGTAGTTAAAAAATAAGGAAAAATTTTAAGTTTACCTGAAAAATATTTTATTATGAGAATGTATGGCTGAAATTGAGTATGAAAAAAATTGCGTTTTGAAAGAATGATTATCAAACATGGCTAAATTTAGTTTTCCATTAAAAATAGGTTTTACGAAAATACAAAAAATGCTACTTGTGCGGATTTTTTTGTGCAAATGGATTTATGGGTGTTGAGATGACATAATTTGCCCTTGTTTGAGCTCTATTTTGAGAGAAAATGTATTTTTAAGCAGTAAATTTTGAAAAATGTGTAGTTAAAAATGAAGAAAAAGTTTTCGCTTTATTGGTGAATGTGTGGTTGAAAATGAGTTTTGAAAAAAATTATTTTTTGTTAAAATGGGGCTCAAACATTTTAGTAATTGGTTGGTTTAATTTTTTAATTTTTTTGGGTCCAAAATTAGTGAAATCTTGCTAATTGACATTCTATGAATTGGTAAATCAAAATAGCCTATACATGTATGGAAAAAAAAAAAAGAAGGAAAAAATTTGAATTCATGTGTAATGTTATCTTATTGAAGAATGTGTGATTAAAAATAAGAAGAAAAAAAAATGCATTTTCACAAAAATGATGCCCAAATATGGGTTTAATTGGTTGCATATTCTGCTGATACAGTTTTACTCGCTTGTGATGTCAACTGAAATCCCTTCTACTACATGTACTTCCAATTCCTTTTAGTACTTTAATTTTGAAGTTTCCCTATGTGACTCTGATTTCTAAAGCTTTTTGGATTTTAATGACAATTTTTTTTGGGTTCTAAATAGGTTCATCTATAAGGTTATTCAAAGGAATTTGCTACAAAAACATAATACTTGATATAAGGGATGACACTCCACACATACATGGGGAGGTCGGCATTTTTTAATTTAGGTCGGGATCCACATGCAATATGAAGGGTCGGTTAACCCCTATGTCAATCATTATGTTCATTCAACTTAATTCTATTCAAAGAACTAACGTGAAAGGTCATCTAAATTTTGTCTGTACTTCCTTTCTTTTTTGTTGTTAAGATGGAGAAGGAGAATGCTAATTACTAGATGACATAAAACAATGTCCTCCTTCGATCTCTGACTTTAGATGGCATTTAATTGCAAAAGTCTCTTAATTATTAGAACCCTCTACTGTATTTTTATAAAGCCCATTTTTTTCCCCTAAATTTATATTTAAGTTTTTTTCTCTTTTTTTTTTCGAAAAATATATGGCAGTGACAGACTGAACATGCCTGGTCAAGGCCAGCATGGATCATAGTATTTCATGCAGTGTTATTAAAATCGGCCCGTTCGGTCGGCTCGCTAAATCGGTGACTCGAACCCTATTCCGGGTTGGGCAAGCTCGTACTATGTAAATGCAAGTTGTCCGGTCAAAAATCGGATTTAACCGGGTCAATTAGTTGGTTTTATATAATTATTGGGCCGATCAGCCTGGTTCGGCCCAATTGATTTTTTAACCAAATTTCGAAACTTTTCTCCATTGAAATTTTAGGAGACTAAAGATTTGAATACTTGACTTCTAATTAATTTGAATATGAACCTTACCACCAAAGCAAATAATACTTTGTTGTTCTTTTGTATAATAAACTATATTTAATTTATGAACAATTTGTTGTATTTTGAAAATATTTTTAATAAAATTAGTCCAATGTTTTCATTCATTTTGTAATATCAAATAATTATCTATTTGTTTGAAAATTTTAATTTAAACTAAAACAAATTGAATAGATAATACACATAAATTATTGGATAATAAGTAGGGATGACAAAATAACTCGTCAGCTCGTGGCTCGGGCCGACCCGTGAGCCTAAAAAAAAA